AGCAGGAGGCTAGTCTGGGTGCAGCAGGAGGCTAGTCTGGGTGCAACATGAGGCTTGTTTGGGTGGACCCTGTGTTTTTCCAGATCTAGAAGAGCTTTGTTTCCTACACATGCTGAGCATCATATTCCTCTCTGAAACAATGCGCTCCACTATTGCGATGCCTCTGTTTTGCTTAGATCTAGGGTATTCGAGTGGTAGTCATTGGAGGCTGATTGGTTTTTTCGGTCGTAAGCCAAAGGAAAAGGATGGTCGTAAGCCAAAGGAAAAGGATGAGGTTGGTGAAGTCGCTACGGGGGAGACTGCCACTTCAGTCTCAAAAGGGGCTCTAGTTCCCTTATTGAAATTTGGCAACAAAGGCTTGCAGAAGATTGGAATAGTTAGGGCATGGTTGGGAGCCCATGGCAACAAGGGAGGTGCCTGGGTTTGTATGGAGGGGCATGGCCCTCCTATTGATTGAAACTATTTTAGGGACGACATATAGTGGGTTGGGGACTACTAATGTCAAATTTTCCCTACTCTTCCCATGAAGCTGGCTAAATAGGTGAGGACGTCCAGTAGTTTCAGACACTCATAGCGACCTCCTTTTCTACTTTTGTAGCCCTATTTTTGCCCTTACAATGATTGTAACTATAATCTTTAGTCACAGATGGCCCTCTTCAGTCACAGATGGCCCTCTTCACTTAATTGTCCATATGTCATGGGCACAGTTTAAATCTGTTACTAATACTGTAGGTTACGCTTCTATCCTTAATTTGGCTATAATGCCATGCTAGATATTCATCTGTAATCTCTTTATATTTAATATAATTCTCTATTTCCTATAAAAAAACCAATAAATTTTTAACTATTATTTTTCTTCTTTTAAAACCCAAATACATCCCAACAATCTGTAGAGCGGGTTGAAAAATGCTAGTTAAAAATAGTGTCTAAGCCCTAAAACTGTTCAATCAATGCAAACAAGCCCTTTTAATTATGTTCCCATTAGCTAACTTTGATGTGCCATTAAAATCAATGGTTGCCGTTAATGCTTCCGAAAAAGAAAATGTTTGTTATCTTGGTGGTAATCACAATCCTATAAAGAAAAAGTGACATGCAATTGGGAACTAAAATTTATATTATTAAGTGTGTTTTTAATTTATACTTTAATGATGTAAGTTAAATGTGTATTTATTATATTTTTTTATCATTAATTACATAAAAATTATAAATTAAATTTTATTTTTAGTACTAATGTCATGTAAAACAATTTAATTAAATAATTGACAAATTATCTTTTATTTTATATATAAATTAATAACAAAAATATACAATAATTTACACATTTAACTTGTACAATAAGAAAATTACTATTACTAGTCAGCAGCCTCACATTATATTACTTGCAGTGTTGATATTCCATTTTAATTGGGCCGGGGTCTTAGGTTTAATCATAACTCTAGAAAAATAACTGTTGTCTTTATTTGCATGTTTGTACAGTTTGAATCCACCAAACAAAAGTGATTTCTTTTTAGTATTTAAAGTTTGTTCTTTACATTATGAAATTGAGATTATTTGGAAGAATCTCCTATTATTAATTAAGCTAAAACTAGCTAGTGAGAATCCACCATGATAGAGTTTATGATGTAGCCACTTGGCTTCTTCATTTGTGTTTGGGACAAAAAGAAGAAAGTAATGAAGAGGACTACTGCCTCCATTCTCTATGGATGAAATGATATGAAGCTAATGGTTCTACTTTTCCCTTTTTTGCTTTTCGGTACCAAAGCGGGAGATAGCAATTACTAGTGTAGACCCAATATTGGCCATATCTAAACTTGATTAGAGAATATTTGTTCCTTTTAATGATCGTTGTTAGATGTGTTGTTCCGAATTACATTTTTAGTTCATTTACTTCAAAACAAAAAAAAAAAAAAAAACCTAAAAAAAGATCACTTCCATCCATCCACTACTTTGGAAGTGAATTGCGAGATTTGGACCTCTAACTCTAAACTTTTACTATTTAGGAGATCTATTAAAACATACTTGAACCCTTTTACCCGTTTACCCGAGTGGTTATCGAAGTTGGTGGCCCCAGCTCTACCCAAAATTTTTCATCTCTTGGGAAAATTACAAGATATTTTCTCACATCCCAAAGAGAAACTCAATTAGTAGCAAATGATGATAGTGTGGCAATTTATGATTTTATCTCTCCCTCTTTTTTTTTTTTTAATGAGTTTGGTATTGTGTAATATGGAACTAATTATTAAATTAAAAAAACTCCTCTCAATTTAACTAACAAAGTATTTTGTAATTTGAATCAAATTAAAAAATAAAATTAATTGATTTTTTGATATTAAAATGTTTTCTTATTTAATTATCTTTATTTAATTTTCTAAAAAATTTTAATTTAATAATTAATATTTTATAATTTAATACAATTCTACTTGCACTTTTTAAAAA